AAAAAAAAAAAAAAAAAAAAAAAAAATAGGTAGAGGTGGGTAGAAAATTAGGATGGGTTATAATGATCCAGAATATTTTAAGTTGCCAATTCAAGAACTTAGACTTCCTATCATGCTTAAACAAAAATTAGAAAAAATCAAAACTTAAAGGACAAGCACTGAATAGTAGAGAATATACTGAAATTTAAGTGCTTTGATCTGCAAGTCTCAGACCGAGGCAAAGCAGCCAAATAAATATTATTGAGACAGTCTGACCAAGAAACTCCTGCTACCTAGGCAAAAAAGAATCTGGTAACAATGTATAATTGGACCACGTAAAATCCTTTTTCTGTTTTGGCTCAGAAAACATCTGTTAAATACCATGTTCAAATTACTCTGCTAAGCTATCTTCTGGTTCTTTTGTTTGGCATATCTACTAAATGGAAGTCATTCTTGGTTCAGTCCCCATTTAATGGGCTTTGTACATCCTGTTTTTAAAAAATGTTTTTTTAAAACAGACACATGTAATCTCTAGGAATAAGACATTAGAGTCTCCTGCTGCATCTTTTCGTGGTGCCAGCTTTGTCTCCTCCAGCTATTTCCAATTAGGCAAGTCAGACTCTTTCTTGCCCTCAGTTTTCTAATCATTATAATGAAATGATGTGGCCAAATTATTCCCTAGTTTTCTTCCAGCCCAAGTCTAACCCACTTGGTATTTCTTTAAGAAGACAAAGCGTTGTTCAAGTAGACCATTGAACCTCACATAGGTGAGTATGTTGGAATGTTCTAGGAATCTTTAAAATATATTGATACCTGGATCTTTATGCCCAGATCTAATTTATCTGGGTATGCCATGAACATCAGTGTTTTAAAAGCTCCACTGTAAAATTTCCCCAGATGATGTAAAGCATATCTTCTAAACTGTCCGTGATAATGATGTAGGCATGAATTTTGACTCAGAATTCATTGGGTAACCTCAATGGGTAACCTAGAGTCGATTTTGTTCCCAGAGTCTGTGTCCATCAGAACCTAACTTCTATAGGCTCAGAAGGCAGAGCTGGGCAGGAGGTGACTCTTACATTGGCAGACCCTCTCACTTTTCCACCTGGGCTTTACTAATTAAAGTACTAGGCTGGGTGCAGTGGCTCACAACTGTAATCCCAACATTTTGGAAGGCTGAGGTGGGTGGATCACCTGAAGGCAGGAGTAAAAGACCAGCCTGGCCAACATGATGAAATCCTGTCTCTACTAAAAACACAAAAAATTAACCAGGTGTGGTGGCTGATGCCTGTAATCCCAGCTACTTGGGAGGCTGAGGCAGGAGAATCACTTGAACCTGGGAGGCAGAGGTTGCAGTGAGCCCAGATCATGCCATTGCACTCCAGTCTGGGCAACAAGAGCAAACCTCTTGTCTCTAAATAAATCAACAAACAAACAAGTACTATACCATTCCACGTTTCTACTTATTAGTCATTTGAGTATAGGTTCTTATTGTTCTAAAA